TTTAAATAGCTTTAAGTTTAAAAAAGTGTGGTACAATCCAAATTACATTAAGCCACACTATTTAAACTAATAAGGAGACTGGACCTTTTTTATTAAAAGGCATATCTTTATTTAATAATTTTTATTTTACAATTAAAACTAAAACTAAATCGTAAAGCATGAGACTCAAATAGTTTTACTCACAAAATAACAAATAGAAGAAAGAAATATAACAGAGCCCGTGGCCCAGAGCTTAACGGCCCAAACCAAATAAAAACAGTCTGGGAACTGAAAATAAAACTGGGAACCGACGGCCCAAACAGAGACCAATAACCAATGAAATTACTTTGGTAATTCAGCAAAACCCCACTGAAAACCTCCATCTTTTCCTTCTTTTTACCCCACCGGTTTTTCCGATGGATTTCCAGGTGGTGGTTCTGGCCGGCGGCACTTCGAAGAATTTCATTCCTCCGACTCTTCCTTTTTCATATTTTTGGTTCCAATCCATTCTATAATCATTGCTGAATTCTTCTTTTCCACTTGGAATACAGGAGGTGCCCAAAGCACTACTTCCGGTGGCGAGCCGTCCCGTTATCTCTTACGTTTTGGAGCATCTGGAGCAAAACAACCTCAAGGATCTGGTTGTTGCAAGCTTCGTTCTTCCTGCGCTCTCTAATTCGATTGTTATTTTCATGTTCCTGATTAGCTTGGAGTGTTTTTGGGGTAGGTGGTAGAGGGCAGAGATGCGGCACTCCATGTTGGTGGTTGGATATCTGGGGCTTATGTTGATCGTCTACATGTTGAGGTATCTGGATGGTTTCATTTGTTGGATGATTCGCTACAAAATGTTCGATTGCTTCTCTTTCACAGCTTATAATTATTTTAAGTTCTAACTATGTGATTCTATCCTATTTATAGTTTAATTTGTTATTTGCTTTCTTGATATTGCAGGTTGCTGCAGTCCCTGAAGATGTGGGAACTGCTGGTGCAATTAGGGCCATTGCACACCACCTGACTGGTGCAATTAGCATTTGCCATCCTTCATAATAGTTGGCTTATGTGATAAAGTTATACTTTAAAGCATCCTTCATGTTCCTGCAGGTTGTAAGTGGTGATCTTGTTTCTGATGTACCTTCCGGTGCAGTTGTGGCTTCTCATAGACGTCATGGTGCAGGGGTGACTGCAGTGTTTGTGCTCTGCTCCTGTCAGTGGAGCTTTGGAGTCAGGATCTGGTGGTGGAAAGGATAAAATCAAGAAACCTGGACAATATGACATCATTGGCCTTGACAGAACTAAACAATTTTTGTTATACATTGCAACCGGTTAGATATCAAAGTTTTTCTATTTTTTGGCATGTTACATGACCTGACATTGCAATATGCAACCCTTGGCAGGAGGTGAAATTGAGAAGGATACTCGAATTCAGAAGACCATTCCACGTGCACTTGGCCAGGTAATAGCATGCAAGCAATCCTTCTATTAAATAGAACTCTTTCAGCAATTGATCACCCAGAAGTGTCTTCTGTCTGGGTGTGTGTTCATGTTTCCCAATAAAAAGAGTTACTAAATTAACCTAAGAGGACCACCAGTTCAATTTCAAAGTTCACCAGAATATTCACATGCTGGATGCTTGGTTGTTAATCGAATTTTCTGTTGTATCCTTGTATAGGTGGAAATTAGATCTGATCTTATGGATGCTCATATGTATGCATTCAAAAGGTTTGTCTTTTGCTCTTCTTGCTCCTACAAATTCAGTGTGCCTTTCTTTTACTGAATCCTCATATCTCTCCAGATCTGTTTTGCAAGAAGTTCTTGATCAAAAGGATACATTTCCAAGCTTAAAAAAGGATGTACTTCCATATCTTGTTCAGAGCCAGCTAGTTAGTCGAATAAGGCCCCCGAAAACAAGGATGTTTATTGTACAATTTCCTTAGATCTCTAACTTAGTCTTTTTATGATTGTTTCTTGAGCATCAGAAATCAGAGGCACTAAAATATGCACCACTTGTGGAAGAAAATGGAAACCAGAAGATTAATACCCAGAATAACCAAGCAACTCTGTCTCGGATAATTGCTAATGCATCTACCCCAAGCTTTTATGAACTCTATGAATTGGGTTCTAATGGTTCTGCTCCTATTTGGAAAAAAATTAAATGCTGTGCTTATATTGCCAGCAATAGCAAGTACTGTGTGCGATTGAATTCCATTCAAGTATTCATGGATATCAATCGAGATGTGAGTTTATGTGTTTCTTATTTGGGCCTGCTTATCTCAAACTACCAAGTTTTACTTGTTATTGCAGTTTTTGTTCCATTGAGTTGAGCTTATTCTTTTAATATTTCAGATCATTAGTGAGGCAAATCATCTGTCAGGGCATTCTTCTCTGCCCATAATAATATCATACATCCTTCAACAGAGCTTGGATCAAAAACTACTGTGAGTCCACTTTAATAGACAGGCGTATCTAACTTCATCATTGGTTTAGAGCATTGGATGATTATTATCTGTTACTTGTATGTGTCAAATTGTGAGGTTGTCTAGTTACTGATTTTTTTTGAAGTTTTGATTTGTTGACTAATTGACATGTGCTTGATTTATAATTGCTAGTTATACCCCATTCAGAAAATGAAAAAAGAAAAATTCACTGAGGTTTTTGACTTTTTGGCTCGTTAAAATGTATAAGATTCATTCCCAAAATTTGGATGAAGTATTAGTATACTAAGATTAAATAGAGGTACCATAAATCTCAATAAATTAATTATTAGTAAAATGATAATATGGGATAGGGGGAGTGAGAAATCAATCCACGTTAATTATATATTTATGGAGGAGTGGAGTGAATGGTGTTTGTTATTTACAATTTCGGAATTTACTTCTCCAATCCAGTGTCATTAGTCGATCTCTGTCAATTCATATTTTTACCATATCAACCAACTATTCCAATCCCTGACGATGCTTGGAAAGAATCTAACTTCATGCGTTGTTGAGACCACACTCATATTTGAAGGTTAGTCTGTCAATTCCAGTGTTCCCACCATAGACTATTCATACAAGCCACTAGCTCTGAGTAGTCACTTTCAGAAAAGCATTCTTCTCCAATGCAAGATCATGAATGATTTCAGTCTGTTCTACCATGTGACTGTGAACGAATAACTCCAAAAATGTAGGACCTCCGGATGTATTGTTTTGTTGATCACGGGTAGCTCTGATTTTATTTTACAAGTAAGGGTACGGATTTGCTGAAAATGGCATAAGAGCCAACATCCTCAACAAGGTGCCGACAACTTTGGTCGCGCGTCTCCGTTTTTGGCTTTTAATGCAATTTTCGTTAATGATAAAATGACAGTCCTGATCTCCTACCTCTGAACTCCGTGTAACTTAATCATGAGCTTTTTTATCTCTGCAATTGTACACTAAAAGTTATGATTTCTTTCGAAGAAATCCTTTTCACACAAATAATAAAAATTATATAGAATTAAGTCAAATCTTATAAATCATATTTAAATATCAATATCAAGACAAAAATTTCACATTAATTTATATATAACTTCAGGTCATCAATATACATCAAAGGTTAGTGATACTAATAAATTATTTTTTTATTTTAGATTATATAATAAAAATAATTTTTTATATGACTTAATTTGTACATAATTACACAAGGGCACATATTAAAGAAACACATAATAAATAACTGATAAATAACTACTTACAGCTCCTACCGGCCCACGGAGTTGACTTCGCTTGTTTGGCTATAAATTATGAGGAATGTTAAAGTCATGCATGGAAGCCAGGAAAGCTGAGAGCTAAAACCACTTTGAGGATCTTCATTAGTAGTTATG